CCAGCCCTCTCCTCTCATCTTCTCCGTCCTGTGCGGGGCCCGACGGGGCCCCATCGCTATCCAGGAGCTCAGTGCCGCTGGGGCCCAGCTCCACGCCGCCCGTCTCCAGCTCCGCTTCCAGAATATGACCCCCGAACAGTGGAGGAAGAGCCAGACCTGAGAAATCCTCCATCATCTGAAGCACATTAGCAGACAGAGCTCAGATAAACCAGACCTGCTGTTCGAAAAGTGCATTCAATAAAGCAGTTAGTAAAGTTAATAAAACAGCATATTCCACGAGTGGACTACAGATAACTTGTTAATGATCTTACTGATAACTAAGCATACTTCTATCAACTCAAATATCAATATGCTTGTGAATATGCTAATATGAGTTCCATGCTTAAACCCCGTTTTAATGATTTGAACTCTATACTCACCTTTAGTTAGTAATATTGTAAAGAGCCACACATGATTCAGTCAGTTTATTATCAATCCTGCAAGTGTTTTCTACTCCTCATCAGTTCGGTCTATGCATAATTGAATCGACGCACAAGCAAGTAAATAAAACTAAACATCTACATCTCCAAACAACAAGACGCGTTTTAAATACGTCATTGACCGTTCAGCCAATCCAGAGCGAATGCGGCACCAACATTATTGAACTACAATTCCCATGATGCCTGAGACACGGGACTACAGAAGCAAACATGGCGGCCAGTAAGTATTTTTTTTTTTGCGTGTTAGCTGTTTGAAAGATATTGTGTTCTGTTTTAGTTCGTCTCGATCGTGTTTGCAATAACAGATTAAACTGGGAGCTCACCAGGGCTATCACAATATATCCGTGTACTAAAAATAATGAATGTATAATGTGGAAATACGAGAATGACCTTGGTCTCATATTAACGTTAGCTGTCGTTTGCTTTGAACACACATTGAAAACATGATTTATATCGATACGAGAACTTATGTGACGCCTTTAGAACGCTAACAGAATATGCCAGAATGTACCATGCTACTAGCATGTTTTATTTCCGACGTGGCAGTAATTCAGCACTACTGTGGTATATTATCGTGTACCGCGGTATTACCGTGTGATACCGTTAGGCATGTTATGCACTGCAGTCAAACTCTAGTTTCTCTAGTTGGCAGGTTTCTGAAGAACGCTTGGAATAAAGAGCCAGTGATCACAGTTTCCTGCGGTATCGGGCTGCTGGGTGAGCGAGACATTAATGCACAGCATCACATTATGGATCTTCATCTTCCGGCTTTATGAATCTTAAGATCTATATATAATATGTTGTGTTTTCAGCTTGCGTTTTGCCGGCTTTGAGCCCTTTAACAAAGTACACAGGAATGATGAACCAAGCGATTCCATACAATTATCCAGGTATATTATCCTTATGCGACGTGTAAACGCTCGACACCAGGGTTATCTGGGTGTTTCTTTGATTTGGGGAACTTTGTAAATACATATATATGGCTAAATATATATTTAGCTATGATATTTATTGGTGTTTGTGTGTATTTTATTATTATTATGTCATTATCATCATATTTGAGATAATATTACAGTTTTTATTACTATTTTAAATTTTTATATTTTTAATTTAAAGTTCTAGTAATTTTGTTTTTGTCATTTTTAATAGTTTTTTTTATGTACATGCGTATATATATAGATTTATTAATTTGATTTCAGCTGTAGTTATTTTGGCACATAACGTTAAACTAAAATAAAGCATGTTGCTTTTGAAAGTAGCTTAAATAAAAGGTATCGAAAATGTTTTTTAATTTTAGTGTCAGATTTAGTTTTGGTTAACTATAATAACCCTGATTTGTATTATTATGATGTATTTATTTTTAGGTAACTCTCAGATGTTTATATTGAAAAGCTTGAGCTCAGTGCATTGAATCTGTAATTAGCTGGTTAAAGTGTTTGAGTTTGCTCTTTTGAATCACGTGTCTCTCTTCAGTCCCAGTTCGAGATGATGGAAACCTGCCAGACGTCCCCGCGCATCCCCGTGACCCGCAGGGGAAGAACCTGGATTGGCTGAAAAACCTGTGAGAAGTCCTTCAGAATCCTGTACAGTCACACTCAATAAAAGCTCTTTGTTTAATTACCTGCTTGTTTTATGAAGTCATATCTGGTGTACTTCAGTTGAGTAATACTCTAAGGCTTTTTAGCGTAATGGTTTGTGAATAGAGATTGACACGAGCCAAAACCACAGAGATTAACTTTGTTTATTGAAGTTCATTAAAATAAAGGAAGAAAGGCTATACAGTTATCATGATGTTAAAACATTCAAAAGGCCAAAACGTATGACTGAACACAATATATCTAGGGAAAGTCTGTCAGGTGGCTTCATGCCGCGTATAATAATCAAAACTGACTTGTACAGTAAAGTCCTGCTTTAAATGAATCACTGTATTACAGTATACAGTTATATGTGCATACTTTGTTTATTGAAGTTCATTAAAATAAAGGAAGAAAGGCTATACAGTTATCATGATGTTAAAACATTCAAAAGGCCAAAACGTATGACTGAACACAATATATCTAGGGAAAGTCTGTCAGGTGGCTTCATGCCGCGTATAATAATCAAAACTGGCTTGTACAGTAAAGTCCTGCTTTAAATGAATCAATGTATTACAGTATACAGTTATATGTGCATATATATATAAGGTTGGAGATTAACATTTTTGCATTATTCAATTTAAGATATCTTTATAATAGAAAAAGTTAGTACATGAAGGTATCGGAACAAACCCTGGAATGGAGAAATAATTCAAACATTTATGCACAAAGGTATCATTATCATTAATAATTAGTTAAGACTGGTTTCAGTGTAAAATCTTACAACGATAAGCAACTTTTAAGACTATTCAGAAACGACAAAACACAAACTCAAAAGTAAATGAATCATATTCTTTAGGTTCATTTCAAACCAGTGGACGTAAACGTCTTTAAGTCTTCTGTCCCAAAAAATGGTAAGGAAGACGTTTTTTCAGCGTATTTCTTAGCTACAGGACTTCGCCACAGTCACGTTCTCCAGCATCTCTACACTTTCCAGAGCCTTCTGTAACATCTTCAGATCCCTCGCCTAAAATCTGCTGCAACTCATGACTACAAGCTTTAGCTTTAGAGATTTGGGGTTTATTAAAATACATAAGACAGACGGAAGGGGGGACAAGAGGCCAGAGCGAGAGCCTCTTCACGTCACACTTTCACAAACACAACGCTTTTCCAAAATCCTTTCCAACTCTCTCAAAGCCTTTCTATATAGAATTACACTGCGTTTTCCATTCAGCCGAGTCCTGCTTTTGACTCCAACAGCCGGCCAGTTCACCTGCTTCTCCCAGAATGCTCTAGGATACCTTGTCTTTATTCAACATTTAAAAAAAAAGTATCTTATTTTATGTGGGAAGTACACTCAAAGGAATTTTTTTTTTAATGCTGAAGTGTGTTAAACCTTCTCCTGCATCCTATTCTTCATGCAATCCTGAAGGGTTTGTTTGAGCTGCGCCCTCTACTGTACAGACGAGAATTTACACTTCCTTCCTGACGCTTATTCATTTCACTTTTGGTGTGAAAGTGCTTTTACATTTGCCAAAAGTACAACTTTTTATATTAAAACCAAACAAGCAAGCCCAGACCAGATGAGAAAAAGTAACGTAACGCATTACTTTCCATAAAAAGTAACTAACTAACAAAATAAGGAAGCAATGCAATATTGTAATGCATTACATTTAAAAAATAACCTTCCCCAACACTGGACAGTGAGTAAATCACCACATAATTTACATTTGGATCAACTATTCCTTTAAAAAAATTTGATTATGAAATGTGCATTTGTGTACCAGAAAATACATCTCTTTTTTATACTCACCACCCTGTACATCTAATACATTTCATGAAACTAAATCGGGAATCATCTCCACAAATATCAGTCGCCAAAAGCTTTGTCATCATTTTCACTGCAGACATCACACATCACAATAAAGGAGTTCAAATACTGAAGAATCCACAATCAAACGTTAGAGGTCAATTTTTCCATGTTCTATCCCATGTGCACTCATCCGAAATACATAAAACCCTCTTGAAATATTTCATTTTCTGATAACGTAATATATATTGAATATGCATTTGATCAGCTAAATCCTAAATGATCTAAATGCATTGAACTGCACTTCATTCTCTGATACTGGTTATTGTATAAATGGGTTTCTGTTGGCAAAAGTGTAAACTCTGCCTCTCAGAGGTTGGGTTATTCATGAAGCATTCACAGGAGCATCTCTGGCTGTCAATCAAAGGCTCTGCTGTATCAGTGGGGCGGAGCGATCATTGGTCACCGTCTTCTTGAGTCGAATATGAGCGAACGGGTTGATCCTGTGAAGAGGGGACGGTTAAATGAACTAACCCATCAGACACGGAGAGCTCTTCTGAACACAGGTGACTAGCTTTACCTGCTGGGTGACGGAGGCGTCGAGGTGAAATCAGTCGACATCTGAGGAACATGAACACACGTGTCAGCAGAATATAAGCCGATATATTCTAAATCCCAGCATGATTTAGTCAGAAAGAGATATAAATGAACATTTACAATGGAAAAGGTTCCAATGAAAAAAATGTATAATAATAATCTTCTGTAAGGATCATCTTGAGACACTACAAGCAAAACATTCGTTTTTCATGCACTGGTCAGTTTTGCTTCCATAACTTGTGTGTGTGAAAACATCCAAAATACACATTTAAAGGGACAGTTCGTCCAAAAATGAAAACTCTTGTCATCATTTAATCACCCTCAAGTTGTTCCAAACCTGTATGAGTTTCTTTCAGCTGTTGAAAAAAAAATGTTAAAGAAAAAAAAAAAATCAGCTGTTTGGTTTCTGACATTCTTCAAAATATCGTCTTTTATGTTTAACGTTAGAAAGAAACTCATACAGGTTTGGAACAACTTGAGGGCGAGTAAATGATGACAGAATTTTCATTTTTGGGTGAACTGTCCCTTTAAATGTGTATTTTTATTGCACTTTGACTATTTGCAACTGTAGATTTTAATTCCAGTACATATCTTTAAAGGCTGTTCGTATAACACCTTTAACTTTAATGCATCAACAAAATCAAACAAGAATCAAACCTGTTTTTATCCAATGTTCAGATTTCTGTTCTGGAATTCTATGTAAATTAGTGCAAAAATAATGTACCATGGTTTGTTTTTTCCCTATTCACCTGCATTGTCTTAAAGGAATAGTTCACCCAAAAATAAATAAATAAATAAATAAAAATGTGCTGAAAATGTCCTTGCGAGACAACAGGAGATGCACTTTTTCACTGGAGGAAGCGTTATTATGGATTATGTACTCGTATTTTGGCCAGAATCGACTGTTTGAAGTTAAAAACGTCTTAATGCTGGATTTGTTTCAGCTTTTGTCTTCTCCAGATGTTAACTGATGGACTGGAGTGCTGTGGATTACTTGTGGATTATTGTGATGTTTTTATCAGCTGTTTGGACTCTCATTCTGACGGCACCCATTCACTTACAGAGGAGCAAGTGATGCAATGCTACATTTCTCCAAATCTGATGAAGAAACAAACTCATCTACATCTCGGATGGCCTGAGGGTGAGCACATTCACCGCACATTTTCATTTTATTCAAACAGTAATACAGTCACAGGTGGTGGTTTCTCTGACCCTCATCCTGCTGGTCTCGGGGTTCATCAAGCTGTAGGGTCGCGGTCTGAAGGTGCTGATGCGCTGGGACAAGACGCTCCTCTCGTCCTCGGAGTCAGGACTGACCTGCGGCATCTGACCCGCGGGGGGAAGGCTGTCCAGCTGCCCCATACTGCTGCTGTTCACCTTCGACAGAGCTGGAGGACTGCAGCCGTGATGAGAGACACAGAGAAGAAGAGAGGAGTGATGGGAATGCATGCCCTTCTGAGACAGCAGCAAGATATTACTGTACGTCATTCGATTGGGGCTTTGTTTTTCCTACAGACCTGAGCTCTTGTCCGGGAGTGCTGGGGAAAGGCTGTGTGTAGGAGAAGGGAAACCAGCCTTTTCTATGAAGGAGAGTTCAGAACATCAGCTGAGCATCTGAATATCTGAACAGCAGCTCATCTAGCTTGTTTTAAAAGGCCTGTTCATACAAGACTGAAATGGACAGGCTGGGAAAAAATTGCTGATGAAGAAAAGTCTGTTCAAACCAGATGAAATGAAATGCACTGCAGTTAATAATATGTATTAATGCACAGAAAAAAAGTCCCTCTGATAATATAGATTGCACTGTATTTCAGACGCATGATCCCAAAGCTCACACTTACTGTACTCTATCTTTCCATCTTCAGCAGCACTGCTATCATTAACAAAAACTAAACCTATTAAAAATGTCTTTAATTGAAATAAAACAAACAAAATTATTGAAATATTACACAAAAAAATGTAACTTATTTTATCGCACTTAGCTAACAAAACAACATTTCTAATTTCTAATCATTTAATTTTAATTTATATTTTATTTTAATCTAAATCTATTTAAATCTTGGATTAATTTTTGGTCATTTTGTTGTGTTTTTTTATTTTTGGTTTTAAAAAATATTTCTATTATGCTTTTTAAATTTTAGTCATTTTAGTACTTATTTTATTTCAGTTAGTGGTCAAAGCAACATTTCTAATTTTCATTTAAAGTACTTAAATTACTGAAATTAAAGCTAAAATAAAAATGTCTAAAAATGTAATAAAAGAAACAGCCTAATAAAAACGACAACAAAATACAACACAATGGCCAAAAATTTAAATAAAATATAAATACCGAAGAAAGAAAATTTGAAATGTTGCTTTGGCAACTAACTGTAAATAAAATAAGTTTAAGTAATAAATTACTAAAACTGAAATAAAAATGAATAAAAACATACATTTAAAAAAAAAAAACTAATAAAAAAGACAAACAACAAAAAGTTGGACAAAAAATGTAACTAAAATTAAAATAAAACTGAAAATATCAAAATACAAACAATTTCAAAATATTACTAAATACTATATTAGTATATTAATAATACTAAAATAACACTGATCCTCAGGCAAAGTCTTGTCCCTGGCGTGAGGTCCAAACGAATGCATTGTTTCGAAGGTCTTCACTCTTGGTGTGAACAGGCTTTAAACTTGCTTTGAACAAATGGAAAATCTTGGTTTATGCCAATCCATTGTAAAATGACCATATAAGCTTTGTTCTAGGAACAGGCCCCTCATATTGCTGCTGATATAATTATATAGTTCTGCACCACAGATCAGTATGAAAATGACGCATAGCTAATGTTTAAAGTGCCCCTATTATGCCATTTTTAAGGTTGCTAATATTGTTTTATGAGTCTCCTAAAACAGGTTTACATGCATGCAAGGTCAAAAAACACGTACGTTTTCTCAAAAAATAGATTTAATTTTACCTCATTTCTAAATGATTCGTAAACGACTCGTGCGAAGCAGTTCAAAGAATCATAGGTCTCTCTAAACCCCTCCTTTCCGTGAGCCCTCACTGCTGTGATTGGTCAGATGGCGCAGTCCTTTGTGATTGGTCCAGAGCCGTAGAGAGATTGCTCTGGATTGGATACAGGATACAGCGTCTTCTCGACATGACGGAAATGTTACTGTTTGTGGGCGGGCAAGTTGGCGACGTAGAACGTGGGCGGACATTATGCAAATGTGTTACTTCGTGACGTAGAGCCGTAACAGAATAAGATTCGAATTCCTGACGACTCGTTTTAGCGATTGCGAGCTGACTCTTTTTTTTGATAGACAATGACTTTATTTATCGTGCATTGTCGGCTTCACAACTTTGCAGATAGTTTATGTTCACATTCAGCTACATGACACACTGCATGAAAGGTAATATTCGAAAAGGCATAATAGGGGCACTTTAACTGTCCCTGACTGAAAGGCTGATGGTCAGATACCGTCCCGAGCGCTCGTTCTGTCCGTAGTGCCAGCCGTCTCTGGGTTCACTGATCAGCAGGGACAGAGCGTCTCCAGGCAGGAAGGACAGCAGACATGAGCTTCCTCCTCGGTCTCCTGGCTTCTCTGCCTCGCAGGAGTCTGGGGAGTGAGGGAACAGAGCCTCCACACGGGACGGAGCACAGAGCGGAAGCACTCGGGGAAGAGTCGAGCCTGAACAACACAACCATAACATACAGTTAATGGAGAAAACGCAAGAGAGCACAGAGACACAAAAATACAAACTCAGGAATCTTCACCTGGTGATCTCAGTTCATAGTGACCACGACTGTCAAGCTCCACCATAAAAGTCTCAAAATGCTTGGAATAAAGTGCACAGGTCATTGGACTTATTTTAATGGTGTTATGCTCCTTTTTGAAGCTTGAAGGCCACCAGACGAGTGTGTGAATGTTCTCTTAAATTCACCTTTTTTGTTCCGCAGAAAACATATGGAAACAAGTGGGAAGAGTTTGAAACGGTGTTGTTATTGTTCTAAAATTCTAAAAAATTCTAAATATCGCCTTGGCAACTAATTGAAATAAAATAGTTTTAGGTTAAGTAAATAAAAGTTTAAGTACTTAAATTACTAACATTAAAATAATAGATAATACATATTATAGATTTAAATTAAAGCTAAATGGAAATTATAAGAAACTAATAAAAAATTCTAACGTACAGAATTACTAAAACTTAAACTAAAATGAAAATGAAAATAAAACATCTAAAAATTAAAACTAATAAATACTATAATAGTACAAATAATACTAAAATAACACTGTTATATATATATATATATTATAAATATATATCAAGAAATGTCCATATTATTTTACCTAAAAGTAAAACTATATTTCACATAAAGAAAATGAAGCCTATTTTTTTTTACACTATTATGTTTTACTTTTGGATTGTGCCATTCATGACAATTAAATAAATTTAATGTGAAAACAATCTCATTCTTACTACTGTAATGCAATAAAAAGTATATTATTCTAACTCTAAGGTGCATCTGGGATTATGCATTGTACTCTGTTTATTAATCATATTTGTACCACACCCACACCCACACCCACACACTCACACACCCACATCAACACACACACACTCGCACTCGCACACGCACACGCACACACCCACACACACACACTCACACACACACACGCACCCATGAATCCCTGACGAGTCTCGCTGGACTGTCTCCTCGGCAGCGGCAGTGTGGAGGTGGAGTAGAGCTCGGGAGCCTTCAGCACACTGACAGCAGCGGCAGAGCCGGACAGCAGGACGGGTGTGAGCGCGCGGGACAGAGGGCCGCTGTGGGGGGCCGTTAGGGGCGGAGTCAGGCCCAGCAGGGAACTGTGGGAGGAGATGGAGGTGTGGCTAATGGAGGGAGGAGACTGTAACCCAGACACGCCCACTGCTGTCTGTGAGTGGGCGGGGCTGGCTGAAGAAGAGTACTGGGCGTGTCCACTACTGGAGGGGTTCAGGTGAGACTGAAGGCCCGGGACAGACTGAGACGAGCGCTGCTGCTGCTGAGGACGACTGTCACCATTCAACAGAGGCGGGACTTCCTGCACAGACAGCCTCTGAGACAAGAGAAATCAAGCTTCATTAGTTATATTTCTAATTGGGATTCATTGGGAATTCAACATGCAAACAATCTGCAGCAAGATTTTTTTTTTTTTTGGCCTTCTTTATTAATATAGATTAAAAGATAGCATGGAAAATGTGATAGAAATGTTGTATTAATAACTAAATTAAAGAAGTGTCCTACAAAATACTAAACAGGATTTATCCAGCTGAGCAAGTTTTGGAAAGAATTAAGGTGAAAATTGGAATTGAACTGAATTTTGTACATTTGATTTATCCTTTTTTTAAAAAATATATATATACTCAAAGATTATTTTATTTTACTCAAGATTATTTTGGAAGGATTTAGAAAGCTGTATTAGCAGAAATCTGCAGTGTATGACAAATACAAATTTATGTATTTGGTGTGCTTTTTTTATTTTTAGAATGACATTTTAAAAAGTAAAGAACAATACATTATACGATTATTTATTTAATGAGGAAAGTATCATAAAATAAGTGGGCTCTAATTTTATAAATGAGATTAAATAAAAAAAATAAAATAAAATAAAAAAATACAAAATAAACCAAAAAAGCGCTGAAAACATGTAATAAATGTTATAAAAGTACTAAATGTATATTATATTATATTATATATAAAAACATATATTAAAATTGTGACAATTTAGTTTAATAATTTAATAGTCAATCACAGACAAAGAAATCCCGAATCTCAGTAAAAGTGATTCATCTGAAAGGTAAATTTATTATATGACTTATATACAGGCATATCAATATTTACATATTTAATTTTATATTAAATATTATTTCATATTTCATTTATAAGATATGTCTTAATAGCAACACTGTAAATTCAGATTAAATTATTTCACTATAGGTTTTAATTAATAGCAGAGATGTCTGAAATGTACATTTAACTCATGAAATTACTGAATAATAACCCAATGAATTAATAAGTATTAAATTAACACTAAGTAATAACACTACAGCATGCCACTTATCCTTCTGGGTCTAATTTTAGCTTTTTACTTCAAAATGAAAACAATATTTTTTACTCCACAAGTCTAAAAATCCTGATGTGTCCACAAATCCATCATTAACAAACAGACACAAAACACTTTTATATTCAACTTTGAGCATAGCCATTCATTAAATGTGTTGAGATGAAATGTCCCTATTATTTCACTTAAAAATCTAAATGAAAAGAAGGCGTGAAGCTGTGGTTTACAGTGAATTTATAACAGCTAAGGGGCGTTTTAGGTACTAGCTGTTATAAATTCACTGTAAACCACGGCTTCACGGGGCTTATTGCTTTATTTTATGACCATTATGTTCACTATGTTCACCATTATGTCTTTTTTTTTCATTGTTACAATATGAAAGTCTGAATATGTATGTCGCTCACTTGTTCTGCGGGCTGAGTGATTCCCAGTTTAGCATTGCGCAGGACCTCGGCGAGTCCTGCTCCTCCAGAGCTCTGGGGGGCGGTGTGACGCAGCAGGCTCAGCGCTCGCTCCGGGAGCTTGGTTGGCTGCGCACATGACTGTTGCCACGACGACAGCTTCTGAGACAACAGCTCTCTCACCTACCAAACAAAATCAGATCTTTAGACTGTTGCTTGCTATCTACAGAAGTGCTCAGCTTAGAGCCTCTTCATCTCAGTAGTCGTTCAGATTTGTTTCTTCATGCTGATGTGTGTCATTTCTATGGAAGCCCATTTCCGCCACTGAATAAAAAATAAAAAAGGTAATTGCGACTTTTAATCTCAAAATTCTGACTTTTTTTCTCAGAATTGCATGATACGAACTCGCAATTCTGACTTTTTGCGTGTTATAAAGTCAGAATTGCGAGATATAAACTCGCAATTGCGAGAAAAAAAGTCAGAATTGCAAGTTTTTATCTCGCAATTCTGACTATATCTCGCAATTCTGACTTTATAACTCTTAATTCTGACTTTATATCTCGCAATTCTGACTTTATAACTCTTAATTCTGACTTTATATCTCGCAATTCTGACTTTATAACTCTTAATTCTGACTTTATATCTCGCAATTCTGACTTTTTATCTCGCAATTCTGACTTTATATCTCGCAATTCTGACTTTATGACTCTTAATTCTGACTTTATAACTCTTAATTGTGACTTTATATCTCGCGATTCTGACTTTATATCTCGCAATTCTGACTTTATATCTCGCAATTGTGACTTTATATCTCACAATTCTGTGAAAAAATGTCAGAATTGTAAGATAAAAAGTCGCAATAACCTTTTTTATTTTGTATTCAGTGGCGGAAATGGGCTTCCATACATTTCTGCACCAACCTAATTTCAAACACAGTTGTTGGCACAGGCTCACTAGAAAAACATGCCTGTAGCGACATTTCTGCAAAATGACATTACGCTGATTCTTGACAGAGAAGTGGCGCTAAAAGCTTGTTCAGTCTTATCTGAAACAGTTGAATCTGAAAACATTTTATGAGACCAAAAAGTTAATGCTCTGTCACATCTATTGTTTGAAAACAAAATAGCACCTACACTAAACCCGACCTTAAACCTAACCTATCCAACTTTTTCCTACTCCCATGATGCTTTGCACGAATTATGGGAGTAACTTAAAGTCTACATTAACACATCACTTTCAACATACCATTAATAACCAAAAAATCTTGATTTTTTCTGCAGCAATAGTTTTGACTTTTAGTTTAATATCACTATAACAATACATGCTTGTTAACTCTTTCCTCGCCATTTTCCAGCTTTCTGTGTTTTTGCTGTTATACAGTAGGAGGCGCTATTACACATCTTCTGATCTTCTAAACACAGTGAAGAAGAAGCAGAAACCAGTGAACGCATATGCCAGGGGTCTGAGGGGCCGAGTCATTTCCGTCATTTTGACAGACACAAGCCTTTGTGAATTTTTTTAATTCTTAGTGAATTCAAGTGAATCATTATATGGGATATATCATAAATTAAATCGGGGGTGCAGGCCACAAATGCACAGTATATGTTGTCTCTTTTCATATTGTTACAGCGAAATACAAAGGAAAAATGAAAATAATCAGGAGGAAAAGATGCTGAGAAGACTGAGAAGAGCTCTTGCCACAGATATTCTTGAGATATCACGTCACATTAAAATGCCAATGTTATTCATTGATATACGTTACACGTATATTACGTTGATTATTTGTAGCACAGCTTTATAATTTGAAGTGATTTGTTTCAGTCTTTTTGAAACCGGAAGAGCCTCCCATAATTTAGAAGACAGTAGACTCATTAGGAAAAAGGTGGATAGTGCTAACGCAAATGTGAGATAAAGATCCATCTGCTGAAGAATGTCTTTTTATCTTGCTTCTACAAGTATTTGAGCTTTTATAGTGACTTGTGTTTCATGGGACTCATACCTGAGCGCTTCACAATACAAATGTAAAGCTGTACCGGGTGCGCTACCGAGCAAGTTTACCACATCAGAAAAAACACACATATGGAGAGTTCGTTTCAGCTGGAAACTGCAGTGAATTGTACATATAGGTACTTGTTCTGCTAGAATGAAGGTAGAGGCACATTTTTCTAGTGAGGCTGTTGTGTTTGCTATGTGTTAGCTGGTTGAAGCTCGGATCTGTAGTGTTACCTTGCAGTGGTAGTTGGTGAGGATCTTGGTGACTGAACACTGACGGTCCACCAGAAAGCAATAGCGCCGCCTTTCTTCTGTCAGAGCGGAGCGGTAACCAACGGCAACCAGAGAGTCCAGCTCGCCCTGCCGGCGACTCATCAGCTCCACATACTGTTACAATGAGAGAATTTACATAAAATCAGCTTTAAATAGAATCTGAAAAATGTACAGCAAGACTGGAATGTAGAACAGCCAACTAAAGTTCTGACTTCTTAAAGCAGGGGCTCCCAAACTTTTTTGTCAGCCGAACCCCTTGGGCATAAAATATTTACTTGAAGTCCCCCTTAGATTTTGAGTTAATATTTCAATAATTTAACAACACATTTGCATGTTCATGGTTCTCTTATGTCGGTTAATGGTGATATGACATAAAGGTAAATAAATAATATTTAAACTTTTTTAAATAAGTGTTTTATTTTGAGCTGGACTTTAAAATAGACTCAAACCTCTTATTAGTTGTATTAACATTAATAATAATAATAATGTTTAATAAAAAGAAAAATAAACAATAATCTAATTATTAATATTATTTGTTAATAATTATCATTATTGTTTTCACTAATTCTAAAAATTAAAATAAATATATTACAGTTGTAAATTACAAGTGTACTGTAACATAAAAAATGAATTAGTGATAATTATAAAAATAATAACTATTTTAATTTACAATACTAATATTTGTCAAATTTTTAGTTTTTACTACCAAACGTTCGAATCCACGTGCTTTTAACATTTTAAATTCTCAAGCTTTTATTTTGGCGGAATACGGCTGAAATGCTGTAAACTCCTACTGTAAATTTTGTCCACAAAAATGTTGGGAAATTTGTAAACGTGTAACTAAAGTAAACCTAGTGCGCATTGTGTTCCCAAATGCGCATTAAACTCACAGTACATGTAGAGATAACGGTGGCTGCATTTACTCTGAACCGAGAAGCTCAGAGATACTGAAAACAGCGAATGACGAGCTGCTCGCGTGTAAATGAACACAGTGCTGCGCTTCACTCTCAAACACACAGCACATCAGACTACACAGTTCTTTAACGAAATCACAGCTTTTGATTTGATAATTGCACTAATATATATTGCAATTATCGTGTAGCCCCATTTATTTATTTTAATGTTACATTCAATATAATTAATAATTAAGGCTTGTTCACACCGGGACGAATATCGCGCGTGATAATCGCCGACGTTTAACGCCTCGTGACTAAACAAAGGGCGCCAATGTGAGTGTGCAAAACGCGCAAAACGCGAAGCGTAATTTAAAAAAAAACGCCTCGGGCTCGTTTTTTTGGTTTGACGCGCCGCGTTAAAAACTGGCCAACCAATGAGATTGGCGCTTTTGTTCACGTGCCTGGAGCTGCTGAAGTTACAGTAAAACACGACTTGGTGGCGCTCAAGCACAAAACGGTCTTGCCGAGCACACATTGATACCTAACGACAAAGAGGAAGTAAGTAGACCAAGAAGATGCATCGAGGCAAGATGAATGTAGAGCTGCTGGTCTCATTGGTGTCTGAACACAAAGGGCTTTATGACAAACGCGACAGCGACTACAAAAATCTCAATAAGAGGGAGTTGTTATGGAGAGGAATTGCAGATCAAATAAGAATCGATGTGTACCGGGGTATTTCTGTTTTTCATTAAGCGCCATCTAATGTCAGGGAGTGAATTTGCACGTTCACTCGGCTCATCGCCAGCGAAAATCGCTTGGGTATGAACACAAAAGACGCATCGAAAAACGTCAGCGATAAGCGTGCGCGATAATCGTCCTGGTGTGTACGAGGCTTTAGCTTTTCAACTCATTTGGGAAAACCTGCCTTAAAGGACCAGTTCACCATTATGATGGTCCACATGTTCCTTTGACTGATCTTTTCATTTAAAATCTCTGTATTTTCCTTTCTTAACATCTTTCAGACTGTATTCCTGTTTTACTTCATCATTTTCCCTTCTCTTGTTTTTTCTCTACCTCAGTGTTACTTTTTTTCTGGCCCCGAATCAGCTGTTCCGGATATCTGCTTAATCTCAAACTAAACGGCTTGTTCTTTCTCTTTCTGACCAGAAAACATGTTTAGACTAATGCTCGCGATAGCGTACCTCACGTCTACATAAACAGAGATAGACTCGCTCCTGAACAAACACGTGCAGGAGGACACACATGCTCAAAACAAACACTTGTTCACACATGGAGGAAAAGTCTTCCACTCACAAATCAGCTTTAATATGTAGGACACTGGGTCGCACAGACGGCCTTCACTCCGCTCAATCAGCCATTATGAGTCATACAAACTACAAATGACTGGCAGTACATGACATTCTACAGTAATGAACACAGCAGTCAAAGAACTGGCAAGCTACACAATTACTCAGTTCTTCAGCAGGCGCTTTAATCCAAGTGACTAACTGTTCATTTACTGCCGCGCCAGTCAGCATAAAAGTTTACAGAATACACAAGCATCACATTTCTAAGAACATTTCTTGGTGCATGTCTTTTAAACTTGATTTTAACCCTCTAAAGTCTGACATATGAAATAATAGTCTGAATGAAATTAAAGGATTTATTGAACTTTTTGAACAAATCTAAAAAAAAAAAAAAGTCAAAATCATTTTTGATACATCAGGCTCAAAGTGAGCAAAAATATGCAATTTGGTGCAGATACTGGCTGATAAAATGGCTAATAGCTTATAATGTAAATCAATTGAGACCTAAATAAAATGATATAAATATTAGTCGTCGCTCTATATCTCCAATAATGTGTCTCAGTAAGATGAGATTGAAATGATCCAAACATATAATGCAATGCAATCCAATAATGATTGAGAGATGAAGAAATAAACGCTCCTCAAAAGATCCTGATGATCAGATTTGAGACTCTAAAAAATGATTGATGGAGAATCAAGTAAAGCCGAGCTGCTTCAGTCCAGTAAGTGTTCATCTGGAGATATTACTGCAGTTATTCTGACATTTACTTGATCAAAATCAGTCAAGATCTGACAGCAGAAAGACACGTGAAGCTCCAGCTGAAGCTGGACATTTTGTACAATTACACTAAAAGAGCTTTTACTAAAAAACTATCATTCAGACGACAGAAGGCATGGAGTAGATCGTGTGTGAAACAGGTTTAACAGCAACGTTTGATCATTTAGAGGCCTTAGAAACATGTACCTGCATCTCTCTGTCTCCATATTTGTTGGGATGGCGACTAGCTTGGCTCTTCCTCCGCAGCTTCTTCAGCTGTGATTGGCAGCGCTCAATGGACTCCACCTTTGACTTCCTCTCACTCTGGTACTTCTTCAGCGTCGCCTGGACAAAGGTTTTCATACAGTATATCAAGTTCTGGTAAGTTTCAGAGAGTTCAGGAGGAGTAATTTATTGATTAATTTACTCAAAGGGTTTACAAGACAAACTCTGGGTTTACTTGTTTGAGCTCCCCTGTTAAGTAAATTCAGTAGGTAGTTTAGTTAAACAGTAGTGTGCACTCACAGTCAGATATTTGATGTCTAGCTCCAGTTTCTGCTCGAGTTGAGACAGCATCTCTGAATGAAACAGCTTCAGCTGCAGACGACAGAAAACACAGCATTCAATCAAACACAGGGGGTGTGGAAACACACGGGTCTTGAGGGTAAATTACAGTTTTTACAATCTCTAGGACCCATTTCTTAATACTTAGGTCACTTTTTCAAAACTCTTCATACACTAAAGCACAAGAGCATCTATGTGGGCAAAACTGTGGATCATTTATCAATGCTTTGGCACAAAATACACTCAATTAAAACATCTTTCAAATGAAATGAATTCTTTTCTCACTCAGACACACACACCACACACACACACACACACACACACACACACACACACTCACTCACACACACACACACACACACACACACACCAAAACTCAACTAGCCACTATGCACATTTACATACTTTTCAAAACTATTAAACTTAAGTTCAAAACCTAATATAATACAAAACTGAATAAGACAGTGAATTGATACAATTCTACAGTAATACAACGTTGAAATTTATTCTAAATCTAAAAACTGAATTACTATCAAAACAGCTAGATGTAGCTAAACATCTGCACAGGCGTTAGTCTTTCAACTTCATTACCATCTATACAAAAGGGAAAACATAGGAATAATTTTGTACTGTAATGTAAACATGGACCAAGTAACATTTACAGCAGTGAGTGACATTTTACAGAAGAAAACATTGTGTAATGCTACCTGTTGTTAGCGTTTTTTTAGGTCGGTGTTTTATGAGTGACAGTGTGTTTTTTGGGTGAAATCCTTTACTAGTGTTATGGAAGAATGATTTTAAACATGTATGGAGTGTTTTGGTAGTTTTAGTGCATCTTGGATGTGGAATTTACTGCTATACCAAGCTGAAAGTTGGTTAGGAGAGCTGTGTGAAGAGTTTTGAAAAAGTGACATAATTATTGATAAATGTGCCCTAGAGATAGGAAAAAAAATACACAACAACTGAAGGTTCAGTTTATGCCTTAAATTTACACATATGGGATAATCAAACTGGCTGTACAAGTCAAAATGGACTACTCTGCCAAGCTGTTAAGCAGAACTTTGTGCTTGTAATTGACTTGTCACTATACAGTAAGAAAGAACATGCTAAGAACTTTTTACAGCAGACCACCACACTCTTGCATACTATACTGTACTTAAACTGCTATTATAAAACGGAGAGTTCCGGTCCTTGATTCTGATTGGCTGAACCACGTTCCAAGCTGTTGTAAATTACTCTACAAACATACACCTTTGTTTACGTTTGCCTGTTGCTCGGCAACCACTTTATTGCAACCACAACTGTTTCTGAGGAACTACATTGTTTGGTGGAAGAATACTGTTTTTATTAATATCATTACACTTTATTTGCTCGGTTTTATTTTGTGAAACCTTACTACGTATATGGAATAACAGTTTTATAAAAGCAATAAGCCCCGTGAAGCCACGGTTTACAGTGAATTTATAACAGCTAACTCTGCTTCGCGTCGTACCTAACAACGCCCCTTAGCTGTTATAAATTCACTGTAAACCACGGCTTCACGGGG